TTGTTTCGACATAAAGTCGTGAGCTACATGAGCTATAAAATCTCCATCCTTTAGCACCATCATTAGTTTGTTGCTTAAGCAACTTTCGTACCAGCTTATCGAATTCAGAGGCGAGGTCCCTTGCTTTTAACCAGCTCGGTCCCCCTGCGACAGTATTCATATAGAGAAACCTACCTACCGGCATCACGCACACACTATAAGCCGTCCGGAAGGATCCCCATGTTTTCTCTGTCAAGAGGAGTTTCTCTATTCGAGTCACCATCTTCTCCTTAATTCGATTCCAGGCTTCCTCAAAGTCAACCTCGAAGCTTTCCTCAACGCCCAGATATGAATATGCTTTATTGCCGAGAGTTGGCAAGTCAATGACTGCCTCCTCTCCCTGGATCTCTGCCGGAATCCAGGCACACTTTCTTGTGTTAAATTCAAGGCCGATTGTTTTCGCTATTCCTCTCGTTTTCTCTATGATTTCTCTTAGATACTCGTTAGAGGTAGCGAATCCTTTGAAATCGTCCATATAGAACAAGTGGTTTAGACTCAGCGTAATTTCCTGTCCAGGTATGGATACCTCGTATTTTGGCAATAATTCAAGATTATGAGAAATAGGCGCAATTGCCAAACAATAGAGTAAAGGAGACATACTGTCACCTTGCAATACTCCATTTTTAACCCGTAGCTTCTTGCTTTGGGTTATTCTCCCATTCTTCAGCAATTCATATCGGACGCTCCAGCCCCTCATTAGCTCTGCAATCGCATGCCGTATGTTAGGCTGGAGGTTTATGGCTCGGAGGGTGTACCTTATCCACGGTTGGCTTACGGAGTCAAACGCCTTAGCAAAATCCACCCACACTGCTGCCAAACAGGTGTTAGTAGCTTTCGCATGAGACGTAATAGTCCGGTCCAATATTGTGGCATGAGTACACCCCCAAGTGTCTTTCACCAGTGCTCGTTGCTCGTATGGCAATATGTCATGAGTGGTAAGGTGGTCATTTATCCAAGCAGTCATTACCCCCGTTATCAGTTTATACATAGTGTTTAAACATGCTATGGGTCTGTAATTTTCTGCTCTGCTCAGATCACCTCTTTTTGGGAGGAGGACCACCCTTCCTTCAGTGAGCCATTTAGGGAACTTAAGCTTATGCTTTTTGATTCCCATCAACCAGTCAAATAGCACCTTGTTTGCGGGAATTAACCTTTTCCATAAAAGATTAGGGATCCCGTCTGGACCTGGCGCCTTTGATGGCCGAGCTTTCTTCAGAACCAATTGCCAACGCCGGAGATCTTCAGCATAACTGCTAAATTGCTGACCTTTTGCGGTCTTCTCTTGCACTGCCTTGGACCAGTTAGCTAGCTCCGGTGTTCTTTCAAACGGCCGGTGCTTACCTACTATTCCCGACCAGTAGCTCCTAGCATCCTCGGCTGACTTAAGCTTGGATTCACCACGAGGTTCCTCTAGCTTTCGTCTGAGGGGCAAAGCTTTTTGCAAAGCCTCACGCTCTCTCCGTGATCTAAGCTCTATCCGGTCTTTAAGCAGTGCAAGGTGCACCTTCAATGATTCGTTTTTGGCCATCAAATCATTGGTAGTCCTTATCGGTCTACCTCCGACTTGGTAGCATCTTTGCAAATCATAGAAGTTTCTCCTTTGTCTGGGGGTGGGTTTAATCTTAGATCTTCTCCGTCGGATTTCGTCAGTAATCCAACCGATGTGTGTTCTAAGACGGTTACATTCCTTCATTCGGTCATTTTTCCACTCAGCAGCTAGCCGCCGAGCTTCCTTATGTCCTGCAGAAGTACTAGTTTCCAGTGTCTTACCTGCTGTATACACGGCAGTATTAAGGACTTTCAAGACCCCATACTTTTGTGCATGTCGATCGACACATTCTCGAACACACTGACCTAAGCCTACCCATTCTGAAGCTTTCACCTTACTGACATTGATTCTAAGAGGTTTCCTTTCCATCTTTCCTTTAATTGTCTGATGGTAGGTCCTCCAGAATGCAGCCCGTAAGGCTTCTCGCTCTAACAGTTCACCAGAGGATGTGTTATCCTTATTTTCCTTGCATTTGTCTTTGGCCTTTTCTTTATTCTTATCGGAGGTGCTGGCTGTCACCTTCAAGGTGTTCGCTGGCACCTTTGTACCCTTGGGTACTTGTTCTTTCAAGGAGAGATGCACTAGTCTCTCCTTTTCCTTCTCTTTTCTGGCCTCGGACACTTGCTCGGATCGGGCTGGACTTTTATCTTTAACGTAAGTCCTTCCCAAGGTTAACACCCTCTCACTATTTGCCAAGTTTTGCAACTTGCTCTTGTGCTGCGTGGTTTTCCGTTCTATTGGTAGACCAGACTGTTTTATGAGTTGATCTCCTTCGAACCGATAACCTCGCTTTTCAAGCATATTTCTGCGCTGGTACAAAGCAATGGCAGATCTGTTCCCAAATCCGCCTTGTTTGCCTGCATCAGATGATTGCCTGAAAACCTCCCAGATCTCGAAGAACTCAGCTGGTGTCAAGCGTCTACCATTTCTGATTTCCGCCTTACGCCATGTTATGAACATAGAGTCCTCCTCGATCCGGTCCCACCGTGCTGCACTAAGATTCCCTTTGTTTCCCCGTCTAGCGGGTAAACCACCAACCGCGTCGCTTAATCGGCGTGCAACAGGCCTTTCTTGCGACAGTTCACGAAGAACATCGTGCGGTTGATTCTCTTCACCTCCTTCTCTTCTTTCCCCTTTATCATTATTTTTATTTTTATTTAGTGAAGTCTTCATTTTTAATTTTTCCCGAAACGATACCCAAACGTCATAATCCGCCCAGGTGTGTCTCCTGGGTCGGGTCTGTAGACTTGACATATCCCAGACCGAGAGGAGTAGGCTTCGGTTGGAGCGCCCGAATGTCTTCTAATCCCATTAGGGGAGCCTGTAGACTGGCCGTAGCGAGTCGGGCGGAGAATAATGTCTCGAACGCCTTTTTACAGGCTTAGACTTCTGCATATTTCAGCACACCTCTAGCTTTTCCCGAGATCAGTCTCACCCCGTAAGGTTTTGTTCGAACATTGCACTCCTACAATGCCTGTCTCCCGGGAATTAGCATTGGAAATACAGTTGGACAAGCTGTACCGAGGCGCATTCAAAATCCTAGTCTGCCATTCATCTTTCGGGCTTGTGTCCTTAGACTCCCCGTCAGTACTAGAGTAAGAGTTTTTCCCGACGGAGATCAGTCTCTAGCTAATCGTAGGTTTTCAGTCCCTTCCAGTTTGTACTTAGACCTCTGAGATGCTTCAAGAACTAGCCAGTATTTTACTAATCACATTTTTGAGTCTCAATACCCCTTGAGTCATTTAAGACTCAATTGTCAGGGGGACACTAGAGTCTCGAAAAAAAAAAATTGGTAAAATTGCTGGGCAGATTGCCTTTCGGTTTTCCACCCGGCAGCCTGCTCTATTAGCTTTCTTAGTGGCCGGATTTCCTAACCCTGCCTCATCTTTCGATTTAGCAGGCAAGGTTGGGGCTCAAAAACCTAGTATTTTTCGAAGAAAATCAAAATGCATGGCTTTATAAAAATATTTATTTTTTTAAAAATAAAAACAATTTTAAAATTGTCAAATAAAAACAATTTAATAAATTGTCAATTATTTGGAGGAGGTCTGAGCCTCTTCTCCCTTCTTCTTTCCTTTCTCCTCCTTCTTTTTCTTTTCCTTCTCTCCTCTCGGGGTGTTAACAACCCCCGAGGTGCTTTGCAGCACCTCCACCTCCTCTTTTTCTTTCTCCTTCTCCTTCCCCTCCTCCAATGTCAATTTCTTTTTGTTTTTCTTCTTCCACTTCTTCTTCCTCTTATTTTTTGTAATGGTTTTGTTGTTGCTGTTTGCAGCAGCAGCACCTCCACCACCACTCAAAATAGCTGAAAAAAAAAGATTGGATACTTGCTTTTTCTGACAAAATACTTACAAGGATGGGCCTGAGCCCAAAAATCCACCAATTTTTTCAATTCTTCAGGAGAACTAGCCTCCAATGTGAATTTAAACATTTCGATTAGTTCTGCAAAAAGAAAAATTTAGAGGAAGAAAAAGCATACAAATGAAAAAGCTTAAGTCTGAGCCAATCGATGAATCGGCAGATTTTCCCTTTCTCGTCAGAATACTTAAATAACTGACGGTCAACCGAGGGCTTTTACGGCATGCCTCGGGGGCTGGGAAATTGTGTTAGGACATACACAAATAGCCCCTTACCAACGAGATTTTAGCAACCCGGCTACCATCAATGGTTATATTGTGGATGCTAGGCCGTTCCCAGGCTTGTCCATTGGGGGGCAATCTCGCTCAAACCCTTGCGCGTCGGAGTTTTGTTATGAAATACCCGTCGCCAGGTATTCCACCCGGACGCTTGGGACTGTTTCAAAGAGTTAGGACGATTAACCCTCATTTCCACAGTTCCCAGCCAGTCGATGGAATTGCTTCCATTAAAACCAGCTTCGTGTTTCCCGAATAACACTTCGTCCGTTGCATTCAGAATGCTCACGGGCGATCAACGCCAATGAGTCGAAAATCTTATTAGTCATGAACGTGTTTGCACGGTTAGGCGTTCACATTTCAGCGAGACAACGACAAGTGTGCTCGAATTAGCCTGTCTGAGCCATGAATGGCCCCAAGCTGCATCTTATCGAGGAGTTCAAGGGCGGACTTTCCCTTTATGTTCAACTCCCCTAGCCGCTCAACGATATTTGGTAATACTTCACCACAAGTTCCAATCACAATTGGGGTTACTGATACTCCAGCTTTAAATTCCTTTCCGTATAGTTCCCCCAACAGTGCTCTAATATTGTATCCGTGTGTTCTAGTGATCGGGTCAGCTAGAACTGTCACGTCTTCAATCTCAGAATTCGTGGCATACTTGTGGTACTTGATTTGATCCTGTTTTACCAGGTTTTCATACCAAGCCACGCATACCTCTACGACATGGATTTTCCCCGTGGTTTTATCAAATATAACCAAATCCGGTCTATCGTGACGTAGACCTTCGTATCTCATCGTCTTATCAACCCCTTGTAGGGTTGCTCTCACATTCCGTGTGAACAGGTGCACATCATAATATATCTTTGCTGAGTCGTTTTCCATAACCGCAGGGACTGGCTGGTTATGCGCTAATTGCTGCAAGCCGAATCTTCGGCTGAACGTTGCATGCAACCGATTCACCACATTATTGTGGCGTTCCAGCATGAGCCCAGTCCTATAGACCGGGCATCCTGAGAGAATATGCTGCACACTTTCGCGCGCTGCATGACATCTCCTGCACTTAACATCTGCTTCAGTTTGTCCCTTTCGGAACAATTCAGCTGCATTTAGCGCACCTTCCTGTGCCGCTATGCAATTTCGAAAAACGAGTCTCCCAACTTTGGCCCTTTTTAGCCAATGGAAGCTCAACACATGATCTATTACTGGTGAATTGATCACTTGTCCAGCCATAGGTAAACTTTTCCAAATTCCCAATTGCACATCATTAAATTTGGTTTTCACCAATTTCATGATGGCTCTTGCTCCTTTAGTAGCATTTTCATGGTATTGTCCATCAACGAACAATCCTCTTTTTCCATGAATTGCCCCGTTTCCTTCGGCCGCCGGTACCATAATTACTTCGGAAAGCTTCATGGGCCTGAGTATCAGTTTCCTGAACCCTTTTGAAACTGACTCTGATATGCCTTTTCTGGCACGAGAACCAAATAAGATGCGGGCGATCTCTAGGTCGTTTTTGCATTGGAGATAACTCCAGCAATAAACAACCCCCTCATAAAGCACCTCAGTCAGGGACTTGAGTCCGAGTCCTCCTGACTTTGTTTCGACATAAAGTCGTGAGCTACATGAGCTATAAAATCTCCATCCTTTAGCACCATCATTAGTTTGTTGCTTAAGCAACTTTCGTACCAGCTTATCGAATTCAGAGGCGAGGTCCCTTGCTTTTAACCAGCTCGGTCCCCCTGCGACAGTATTCATATAGAGAAACCTACCTACCGGCATCACGCACACACTATAAGCCGTCCGGAAGGATCCCCATGTTTTCTCTGTCAAGAGGAGTTTCTCTATTCGAGTCACCATCTTCTCCTTAATTCGATTCCAGGCTTCCTCAAAGTCAACCTCGAAGCTTTCCTCAACGCCCAGATATGAATATGCTTTATTGCCGAGAGTTGGCAAGTCAATGACTGCCTCCTCTCCCTGGATCTCTGCCGGAATCCAGGCACACTTTCTTGTGTTAAATTCAAGGCCGATTGTTTTCGCTATTCCTCTCGTTTTCTCTATGATTTCTCTTAGATACTCGTTAGAGGTAGCGAATCCTTTGAAATCGTCCATATAGAACAAGTGGTTTAGACTCAGCGTAATTTCCTGTCCAGGTATGGATACCTCGTATTTTGGCAATAATTCAAGATTATGAGAAATAGGCGCAATTGCCAAACAATAGAGTAAAGGAGACATACTGTCACCTTGCAATACTCCATTTTTAACCCGTAGCTTCTTGCTTTGGGTTATTCTCCCATTCTTCAGCAATTCATATCGGACGCTCCAGCCCCTCATTAGCTCTGCAATCGCATGCCGTATGTTAGGCTGGAGGTTTATGGCTCGGAGGGTGTACCTTATCCACGGTTGGCTTACGGAGTCAAACGCCTTAGCAAAATCCACCCACACTGCTGCCAAACAGGTGTTAGTAGCTTTCGCATGAGACGTAATAGTCCGGTCCAATATTGTGGCATGAGTACACCCCCAAGTGTCTTTCACCAGTGCTCGTTGCTCGTATGGCAATATGTCATGAGTGGTAAGGTGGTCATTTATCCAAGCAGTCATTACCCCCGTTATCAGTTTATACATAGTGTTTAAACATGCTATGGGTCTGTAATTTTCTGCTCTGCTCAGATCACCTCTTTTTGGGAGGAGGACCACCCTTCCTTCAGTGAGCCATTTAGGGAACTTAAGCTTATGCTTTTTGATTCCCATCAACCAGTCAAATAGCACCTTGTTTGCGGGAATTAACCTTTTCCATAAAAGATTAGGGATCCCGTCTGGACCTGGCGCCTTTGATGGCCGAGCTTTCTTCAGAACCAATTGCCAACGCCGGAGATCTTCAGCATAACTGCTAAATTGCTGACCTTTTGCGGTCTTCTCTTGCACTGCCTTGGACCAGTTAGCTAGCTCCGGTGTTCTTTCAAACGGCCGGTGCTTACCTACTATTCCCGACCAGTAGCTCCTAGCATCCTCGGCTGACTTAAGCTTGGATTCACCACGAGGTTCCTCTAGCTTTCGTCTGAGGGGCAAAGCTTTTTGCAAAGCCTCACGCTCTCTCCGTGATCTAAGCTCTATCCGGTCTTTAAGCAGTGCAAGGTGCACCTTCAATGATTCGTTTTTGGCCATCAAATCATTGGTAGTCCTTATCGGTCTACCTCCGACTTGGTAGCATCTTTGCAAATCATAGAAGTTTCTCCTTTGTCTGGGGGTGGGTTTAATCTTAGATCTTCTCCGTCGGATTTCGTCAGTAATCCAACCGATGTGTGTTCTAAGACGGTTACATTCCTTCATTCGGTCATTTTTCCACTCAGCAGCTAGCCGCCGAGCTTCCTTATGTCCTGCAGAAGTACTAGTTTCCAGTGTCTTACCTGCTGTATACACGGCAGTATTAAGGACTTTCAAGACCCCATACTTTTGTGCATGTCGATCGACACATTCTCGAACACACTGACCTAAGCCTACCCATTCTGAAGCTTTCACCTTACTGACATTGATTCTAAGAGGTTTCCTTTCCATCTTTCCTTTAATTGTCTGATGGTAGGTCCTCCAGAATGCAGCCCGTAAGGCTTCTCGCTCTAACAGTTCACCAGAGGATGTGTTATCCTTATTTTCCTTGCATTTGTCTTTGGCCTTTTCTTTATTCTTATCGGAGGTGCTGGCTGTCACCTTCAAGGTGTTCGCTGGCACCTTTGTACCCTTGGGTACTTGTTCTTTCAAGGAGAGATGCACTAGTCTCTCCTTTTCCTTCTCTTTTCTGGCCTCGGACACTTGCTCGGATCGGGCTGGACTTTTATCTTTAACGTAAGTCCTTCCCAAGGTTAACACCCTCTCACTATTTGCCAAGTTTTGCAACTTGCTCTTGTGCTGCGTAGGCTTCGGTTGGAGCGCCCGAATGTCTTCTAATCCCATTCGGGGAGCCTGTAGACTGGCCGTAGCGAGTCGGGCGGAGAATAATGTCTCGAACGCCTTTTTACAGGCTTAGACTTCTGCATATTTCAGCACACCTCTAGCTTTTCCCGAGATCAGTCTCACCCCGTAAGGTTTTGTTCGAACATTGCACTCCTACAATGCCTGTCTCCCGGGAATTAGCATTGGAAATACAGTTGGACAAGCTGTACCGAGGCGCATTCAAAATCCTAGTCTGCCATTCATCTTTCGGGCTTGTGTCCTTAGACTCCCCGTCAGTACTAGAGTAAGAGTTTTTCCCGACGGAGATCAGTCTCTAGCTAATCGTAGGTTTTCAGTCCCTTCCAGTTTGTACTTAGACCTCTGAGATGCTTCAAGAACTAGCCAGTATTTTACTAATCACATTTTTGAGTCTCAATACCCCTTGAGTCATTTAAGACTCAATTGTCAGGGGGACACTAGAGTCTCGAAAAAAAAAAATTGGTAAAATTGCTGGGCAGATTGCCTTTCGGTTTTCCACCCGGCAGCCTGCTCTATTAGCTTTCTTAGTGGCCGGATTTCCTAACCCTGCCTCATCTTTCGATTTAGCAGGCAAGGTTGGGGCTCAAAAACCTAGTATTTTTCGAAGAAAATCAAAATGCATGGCTTTATAAAAATATTTATTTTTTTAAAAATAAAAACAATTTTAAAATTGTCAAATAAAAACAATTTAATAAATTGTCAATTATTTGGAGGAGGTCTGAGCCTCTTCTCCCTTCTTCTTTCCTTTCTCCTCCTTCTTTTTCTTTTCCTTCTCTCCTCTCGGGGTGTTAACAACCCCCGAGGTGCTTTGCAGCACCTCCACCTCCTCTTTTTCTTTCTCCTTCTCCTTCCCCTCCTCCAATGTCAATTTCTTTTTGTTTTTCTTCTTCCACTTCTTCTTCCTCTTATTTTTTGTAATGGTTTTGTTGTTGCTGTTTGCAGCAGCAGCACCTCCACCACCACTCAAAATAGCTGAAAAAAAAAGATTGGATACTTGCTTTTTCTGACAAAATACTTACAAGGATGGGCCTGAGCCCAAAAATCCACCAATTTTTTCAATTCTTCAGGAGAACTAGCCTCCAATGTGAATTTAAACATTTCGATTAGTTCTGCAAAAAGAAAAATTTAGAGGAAGAAAAAGCATACAAATGAAAAAGCTTAAGTCTGAGCCAATCGATGAATCGGCAGATTTTCCCTTTCTCGTCAGAATACTTAAATAACTGACGGTCAACCGAGGGCTTTTACGGCATGCCTCGGGGGCTGGGAAATTGTGTTAGGACATACACAAATAGCCCCTTACCAACGAGATTTTAGCAACCCGGCTACCATCAATGGTTATATTGTGGATGCTAGGCCGTTCCCAGGCTTGTCCATTGGGGGGCAATCTCGCTCAAACCCTTGCGCGTCGGTAGTTAGCCGACGAGGCATTTGGCTAACTTAAGAGAGTCATAGTTACTCCCGCCGTTTACCCGCGCTTAATCAAGTTTCCTTGGCTTAACATTCAGAGCACTGGGCAGAAATCAGACACGGTCAACGTCCTGCAAGGACCATCCGTCTCCTCTGTTTTAATTAGACAGTCGGATTCCCGGAGTTCGTGCCAGTTCTAAACTGGTTGTTCATCGCCAATCGAAGTACTATTTCTTGCGAAATAGAACGCAGCTGAAGCGCTCCACAAGCAGTCCTCACTACTAGTCCACAAGCGCCGCCCCGAAAAGAAGCGCAAGCAGCCACGAGCAAAGTCCACCTGTTTCACACAACAGCCCGACTGACCCAACCTTTAGAGCCAATTCTTTTCCCGAAGTTACGAATCTAATTTGCCGACTTCCCTTACCTACATTATTCTATCGACTAGAGGCTGTTCACCTTGGAGACCTGCTGCGGATATGGGTACGATCAGGCAGGAGATTTTAAATTGCCTCCCTCGCATTTTCACGGCTCATGTGGAGCACACGGGACACAACAGGAACCGCTGCGCTTTACGAGACCAGCATCCCTATCTCAGGCTGAGCCACTTCCAGGGACATGATCTCTAAACCAGAAAAGAGAACTCTGGCCCGGACTCCACACGAGGTCTACGAGTTCGTTTGCGTCACCGCGCAATGTAATCCTTGCGGATCACCATCTCCCATGCCTGGTGTGGGAATATTAACCCACTTCCCTTTCGGCAACCGGGTGGACAAAATACCGTTAAGTACCTATTCTCCCCGCAGTGTCTAGACGGCTTTAGCCGGTGCCTTAGGATCGACTGACCCACATTCAACTGCTGTTCACGTGGAACCCTTCTCCACTTCAGTCTTCAAGGATCTCACTTGAATATTTGCTACTACCACCAAGATCTGCACTAGTGGAAGCTCCAGCTGGGTGCACACCCAAAGCCTTCAACGCAACCACTACGACCCTCTTACACGTCATTGCAAGACTTTAAAAAATACAAGCATATGACGGCAGAGTATAGGTGGCCCGCTCCAGCGCCATCCATTTTCAGGGCTAGTTGATTCGGCAGGTGAGTTGTTACACACTCCTTAGCGGATTCCGACTTCCATGGCCACCGTCCTGCTGTCTGTATCAACCAACACCTTTTATGGGGTCTAATGAGCGGGCACTTTGGCACCGCAACTCCGCGTTTGGTTCATCCCACATCGCCAGTTCTGCTTACCAAAAATGGCCCACTTGGAGCTCGTATTCAACGCCAATGTTCAAAATCAAGCAACTTTGACATCATACCCATTTAGAGTTTGAGAATAGGTTAAGAACATTTCGTTCCCAAGTCCTCTAATCATTCGCTTTACCGAGTATAACTACTCGTGAGCTCCAGCTATCCTGGGGGAAACTTCAGAGGGAACCAGCTACTAGATGGTTCGATTAGTCTTTCGCCCCTATACCCAAGTCAGACGATCGATTTGCACGTCAGAACCGCTTCGGACTTCCACCAGAGTTTCCTCTGGCTTCGTCCTGCTCAGGAATAGTTCACCATCTTTCGGGTCTCACCGCGTACGCTCTTCCGCCACCCTACTGTAAACAGTTAGAATGGGGCCATGCTGCATTTTTTAACAAGATCGCACGTCAGACTCTAAAGAGCCATTTACTTTCATTTTGCTTCTAGGTTTTTAACACCCAAAAACTTGCGCACACGATAAACTCCTTGGTCCGTGTTTCAAGACGGGTCGGATAGATGACCGGCTTTTACATGGGGAAGGAGTACGAGAGCATTAACTGGACCGAACTAATTGAAAAGCACGTGTCGCATGCGACCGTAACTCACACTCAGATCGAACCAATAAATGCCCGTAAGCCATACTCAAATGTCCAAGACAAAAAATGCTTACACCGTTTGGGTACCAGCAAGCTGGCCTCAAAACGGCGGTTACAAATCTGCCTCGAACATCCCCAAGCACCAAACAAGTAAATGCATCACAGAAAATTATGCTGCTTCTTTCTGTCCCAATCTGGAGCTCAGAGATCACAACATAAAAATAATGTAAATGAATACTTGAAAGATACGCCGACTCTATCCGTTTCCACCTCACCGGTTTCACGTCCTCTTCAACTCTCTCTTCAAAGTGCTTTGCAACTTTCCTTCACAGTACTTGTTTGCTATCGGTCTCGTGGCAATATTGAGTCTTAGATGAAGTTTACCACCGACTTTGGGCTGCGATCCCAAACAACCCGACTCTAAAGCACGCAAATATCAACCAATTATCTCAATGTACAGGACTTGCACCTTCTGCGGAACCCCTGTCAAGGGGACTTGTTTGAGACAAAAGATCAAAGATTACGGCTTATACGCTACACCTCATAATGCCTGAGGCAAAATGATTTAGCGATGGACATTTCCCTGCACACTCGCCGTTACTGGGGGAATCCTGTTTAGTTTCTTTTCCTCCGCTTACTGATATGCTTAAGTTCAGCGGGTGCTCTCGACTGAGTTCAGGTCAAAAATGTTTTATTGTTGCTGCTATATTCGTAAACAATAAGATATAACCAACAATCATTTTAAAATATAAAGCGTAAAAGCAATGTATAAATATAAGCTTTCGCTTTAAAAGAAAATGACCCTGAACCAGACGTAGCAAAGGGTTTGACCCCAATGCGGCAATATGCGTTCAAAACTTTTGTGCTCAAGGTTTCTGCAGTTCGCACAAATTATCGCAGTTTGCTGCGTTCTTCATCGATCCACGAGCCGAGTGATCCACCGATAAGGCTAGAAATTTTCGTTTTTTTAAAAATATAGAGAAAAAAAGAGTGCTGGCGTCCTCACTTAAGAGGCTCATTAAGTCTTAAACTCATTAAAGAGTCCTAACATGTCACCACATATA